AGTTGCACTGAGTAAACACAGCTGGATAAAACAAAAACTGTGTCCATCTTCATTTCAGTGATAATTTTAAGGGGGGGTGATTATTTTCTATACCCACTGTAAGCATTATGCAATACTGGAATCAAAGAACATTAAAAGACTGGTCATCTCTATACAGTTCAACACTAACTACAGGTTAACAGAGAATAAAAATCAAGGCAATTTTGTAATTGTGTTATTACGTAACAGAGCAATTCCTGTCTCAACTGCACTGGCAACCAAAGAAGATGTTAGTGGTTAGTTATAGTCATTAAAAAAAGAAAATAATACTGAAAAATTCTTACCATAAATTACAGGATAAACAGTTCCTCTAATGCCTGATGCTGGACAGTTCATATTCTTCCCATTTAGGTACAAATTCAGCTCCACATGGTCATACGTAACACCCTACACACACAAAAATGGGCGAAGCCAGAAAATTAGATACATGAAGCTATTACACTGAAAATGAACCACTGCTTTCATTAAAACCATCACAGCTCCTGTCAGCATACATATTAGTGCTAACAGGTTTCCAGTTTGCAGATAACCCAGTAAACTCAGTATGAAATTACAGTCAGGTGGTGGTATACCAAAATTAAGTTCACAACAATACTTCAGTATTTAATGAGTCTGTAACAACACAGTTAAGATCCCTTGTTGATATTATAAGCAGTAAAACACAAATGGAAGCACAGTCCAAAATGAAATGCTTCTCCCTTTACCAAGCACACATAAATAGATTTGTTTACCAAGAAATCCCATATTTATTTAATGCCGCTAAGTCTCACCACAATGTCTCCTTCCTGCGGTAAGCTGTTTGCAGGTAATCTGTTCTTTTCTTCATTGTTGTGGAAGACGGTGCCATCTTGCCGGAGCACAAGGCTGTGCGGGTCTCTACCCATAGGGATCTGGTTCAGATTTGCTTTCCGCGTTGCCACTCCTACTCCCCAGACACCTGCAAGAGCCGAAGTTCACAGCAGTCACACCTAATGACTAAATCAAAGTATTGAGTAATTTGTCAAACTTACATGTAAATGCTTGCACACATCATGTCTTACCTGTGGACTGAATCTTGAATTCAAAGTAGCTCTTGTTTTGATGGAGAGGGGCATTTGCAATGCAACCACCAGTTCCACATATGCGTCTTCCACTCTTTACAATGACAACATCAGTACCTGAAATAACACGGGGATCCAGTTTTCACATACTTAATTAACAGCATAACAGAGACCAAAATAGTTTACTACCATTCGTTTCTGCTTCATGACGTTCTGAAATTGTGCATTTATTCATACATGCTATACATTTTGTGTCATTTAACTATTGTTTATTAAGTCCCCTTGCCTCGTCCCATTGAATTATATACATGTCATTAGAAATGTCAAACTCAAAGAACTGTAAATAAACTGTTATGTCAAGTCTGGCAGCACTAAAATGATCATAACACTTCATTGTATGGCGAAAAAGGCACTTTTTTT